GGGGGGGGGGATTGTTTAATGGGTATAGTTTCAGGTCTGCGAGATGAAAATGTTCTGAGATCTGTTTCACAACAATGTGAATCCGTAACCCTACTGCACTGGACTCTTAAAAATGGCTAAGGTGGTAAGTTTTATGTTGTATGTTTTCGGCACACTCAAGAATATCGTTTAAATTGTATCTGTCACACTGAAAAGTGAACAGGAGAATCATTACCGCTTGGGCCTAGATACTATTTTCCTTTCAGGTTGTCACCACCTCCAAGTTGTTCTCTCTCTCTGACCGAGTCTCTGTAAGCTTACTCAGCTTCCTTTTCTTAGGTGCCTGTTCTTAGATACTTTTCCTTTTAGGAAACAATGCTCTTCCACATCTTTGCCTCATCAAGTGCCCATTTTACATGACGGAACTTAGTTATTTAAGACACTAGGTGAGTTACGATCTCAGCTACTCATCAGCTTATTAGTGCGTTTCCACTTGACTCAAGTTGCCTTAAGGTGATTTTAATCTAGCACTTTTTTTTGGTAATAAAGGTCAACCTTTATTTTTACTATTAGTGACAGAAAATGGCAAAGGTCAGTGATGACATCTATATCACTTTGCTCGGGCTACCATAACAGAAGGCCACAGATTGGGCAGCTTCAACAGCAAAACATTCTTTTCAATCAGTTCCGGAGGCTGGAGGTCCAAGCCCAAGGTGTGGGCAGGTTTGGTTCTGATGGGGCCTCTCCTTGGCGTGTAGGCGTCTGCATTCTCACCACTCTCTCGCACGGTCTCCTCAGTGCGCGCACCACCCTGCATCTACTCTGGCATGTTTTGTGTTTTGTTTTTTTTTAAATCCTCACCCGAGGATATTTTTTCCATTGCTCTTCGGAAAGAGTGGAGGGAGAGAGAGAAACGTCGACGTGAGAGAGACACGTCAATTGGTTGCCTCCTGCACACGCCCCGACCAGGGCTGGGGACTGAGCCCGCAACAGACGTACGTGCCCTTGGGCCGCCGCTCTAACCACTGCGCCAAACCGGCCAGGGCGAGCCAAAGGACATTTTCTGAGAATTTGGTCAATGTGTACCTAGGAAGGAGTGAATTAGGAAAGTTTCCATCTGGCTAAAATTTAAGCAAGAATGAAATGATCTGCAGTCCCTGCATTTTTGTCAGATGATTTTTAAAATATGTTCACTGCATTTTTTGGCTTATTTTCTACAACCCCATGTAAAACGGGTATAAAACAGCTTTTAGGTGCAGTCTGATGGCTGGTCAGACGGTAGCTGGAAATCAGGAATGGGAACAGAACACTCCCCCTGGAGTTAGTAACTGTCTGATTTTTCTTTGTTTAGTTTTCTATATACTTGTCGCTCATTGTGACCAAATAGAGCAACAGATTTACCAAACGCTGAATTTCCACACAATTTTGAAACATTCTAACTCATCAAAGGAGGCTCCCGGGCCTTTGCTGTCTTGCTTCCACCTAGACAGGCTGCCTGGGGCCGTGGCACATGCCCCAGCGGGACTCTGCCTCCCTCTCGCCTTGGGTCCCCTGTTAGGGGGCCTGTGTTTTCCTATCTTTTTGCATTTTCTCTCTCTCTTTTTTTTTTTTTTGTTGCAGCATATCTTCCAGTAACTTTTAAAGAAGTTCAATGACAACTGGATTCCTGAACCTGTTTTTGATCTGGTAAATTTAAAAATTTTTAAAAATAATTTTGTTGAGAGAGAATTTGTATACCATGGAGTTCACCCATTTAAAGCACACAATTAAATGGTTCTTAGTAATAGTTGCGGAGTTTTGCAACCATCACCATAATCTAATTTTAGGACTTTTTCATCATCTGAAAAAGAAAGCTTGGACCATTTAACAGCCACCCCTCACTGTTCCCTCGCCTCCACACTTAGGCAAGCACTCTCCGACCTTCTGTCCCTACAGCTTTGCCTGTTTGGGACTTTGTATGAATGCGACCATGCAATACGTCGTATCCTGTGACGGTTCTTTCACCTCGCGTGACATTTCTACGGTTCCTGCTGCAGTGCAGCGTCAGGACTTGACTCCTCCTTTTGCTCGTAACGCCCTGTTGTGTGGACGTAGCACATTTGTTCATCCTTCAGTCGATGGACAGCTGGGGCGTTTCCACTTCGTAGCTGTTACCAGCAATGCTGCTGTGCACCTTCGCGCACGAGTTTCAGGGCAGACGCTTGTTTTTGCTTCTCGTGGGTAGATCTGTAGAGTGGAAGTTCTGCGTTCTACGGTAATTCCACGTTTAACCTTTTGAGGAACTGCCCAGCTGTTTCCCAAGGGGCAGCACCATTTTATACTCTCAACTCAGAGGTGATTTTACAAAAAGCCTTAAGCAGGTATAACTGACATACAGTGAAATGCACACACATAAAGTATACGACTTGAGCTCTGACCTGTGTGTACGCCTGTGACACCATCACCACAATCAAGGTAACGTGTCCATCACCCCAGAACTTCCCTCACGCTCCTTTGAAACCCACCCTTCCCACCCCAACATCCACCCCAACTATTTTCTCCAAACGACGACTGATTTCCTTTCTGTCATATATGGTTTAGTTTACTTTTCTAGAATTTTACATAAATGGAAATCATATAGTATGTATCTTTTGTCTGGCTTTTTGTTTTTTACCCCACTGAGTGTAATTCTTTTGAGGTTCGTCCATATTTTTAAATATATCAGTAATTCATTATTTTTTATTTGGTTCTGTTTTACCACAATTTGTTTACCCACCCAGCTGTTGATGGATATTTGGGCTGTCTCCAGTTTAGGAACATTATAATCAAGATGCTGTGACCATTCAGGTAGAATGTTCGTGAACGTTCACTGACAGGCCTATGCGTTCGTGTTTCTTGGGTAAATACCGGGTCGCGGGATGTTTGGGTTATATGGTAGGTGTATGTGTGACTTCTAAAGAAACTCCCAAACCGCTTTCCAAAGTGGTTCTACCATTTTCTATTCCTATGAGCACTGTGCTCTTTGTAAGTTTCCTGGAAACTGTCTGCATTTTGAAATTTCACGCTGGTGTAGATCTGTCACTGTGCCAGTTCCTTCAATTTGGAGATGGTGTCCTCAACCTGGGCCATTTTCTTGAATTACATCTTTCATTTCCTCTCCGATATTTTCTCTGTAATGTCTTTCTGGAACGCCTATTACTTGGACTGATTCTCTATTTTTCTCTCTCTCCTATTTTACATTTCTAATTTTTAGAAGATTTTCTTGGCTTTTTCTTCCAACCCCTTTTTTGACATGTTTTGTTCCCACTTTATTTTTATGTTCCAAGTTATCTTTTCTCGTTTTATGGATGTGATAGCTACTTTCTCTCTAAGATATAGTTTTTAAAAACATTTATTCTACTCTCTCTCTGTCCTTCCCCTGAATTCTTACCTTTTCTGTTTCTTGGGACCTCTCTCACGTTGGAGGAATTCCTGAGATGTCTGTGGCCTTGCATACCTCTCATATTTGAGAGGGAGGCGTCAAAAGCTCTCGGAGTTGGAGGTGTGTGTGAAAGGGGCCTGTGGACAGTGTATTTCTCTGATTAGGTAGGGGTGCTAACTTTGGGGAAGCCCTAAATGAATACTTATTGTGTTTTAATTATTTACTTGAGATACTAAAATTTTCCAGGACACCTGGCTGTTGGCATTCTGGGCACAGGAAGGGCCAGAAGGCTTCACAATTCCAGACGCAGACCTTCACCGTCACTGTCCTTGGACAGCCTGGAGCCCCGTCTGCAGCTCAGTTCAGCCAGTGGTCCCTGATCCACAACCTCTGTGCCTCCCCAGATCCCTCCAGCTGTGATATGGCATGAATGTGTGACTTGAAATGCAAGGGAGATCAAAGATGGGAAACACAGTCCAGTTGGCTTGCTCCTTCCATGGGAAATTAAGAGTTGAAAGAAAGAAAAACTGATGTAAATATTTGGGCATAAATATTTATAGATTAAACCCAGCAGAGATTTTGACAAGTTTCCAACTACTGATTCCCCCTCTCCTGATTTAAAGGTACATACACTGCAGAAACTTTGCCAAACAGGAAAATATAATAATAAAAATTAAACTCACCCATTATTCCATCATCTAGAGATAAAAATACAGGCATACCTCGGAGATATTGTGGATTCCGTTCCAGACCACTGCAATAAAGTGAGCATTGCAATAAAGTGAGTCATAATCTTTTTATTGGTGGAGGGTCTTGCCTTCAATTTGTAAAATATACAACATTTGTGAGGCTCCTTAAAGCAAAGCACAGTAATATGTATGCCTGTACTAGTAACATTTTGGCACAGTTTTTTATACATAGATCTACTGTATTTTCTCCCCTCCCTGACGGAAATGTTTCTCTATGTTAGTATCCTGACTTTTTTTGATGAAAGCTTCATCATAAGCATGTTCTGACATCACCAAATATTCTTTATGCCCATCTGACAACTGTTCAGTATTCCATCATAGGGATATACTATTGTAACTTACTCATTTCAGTAATGGGCATTTATAGCTACCATAAACAGCGCTGATAAAAGAAGTGTTATGATGTTCAACTCTGCACAAAAATCTCTGCATCTCTTATTCTGTCTTTGGCATAGATTACCAGTTGTAGAATCATCCACTGGCCCAATGGGTATAAACATTTTGAAGGCTCTTCCACATGTTACCAGATGCGCATCTTAACACACCTGCCTCTCTTGCCTTCCTGAGAAGTCGTAACAATTTACTTTCCTCTCTTCACTCTGCTTGGCAATTGTATCACTGTTACTAACCCTGCCAATTTTCCATCTTTTAAAAATGTCACTCTTTACTGTGTATTGGGCACTGTGCCACAAGCTCGCTTGTTTATTGCTTGTGAATGCCACACCCTGAGAATGCAGGTGGCAGCCTTTCCTTGTCCAATCCCCTGAGGCTGTGTTTAGGGACAAACAGCTGGTCTGCTATATGGCCAGGACTGATACCCAGGTCGCTTGACTCAAATAAGTACAATTTATTTACTGATTCTTCAGCCCACATGCAAACCACAGGCGAAACTGAATCATGCACCACGTGGGGCTGGTGCCTGTGTGTGTGTGTTCTCTTGACAAGCTCTAGGGACAGTTAGGCTCTATACTTTTATACTTGTCTTCTTCTAAACAGTGCACGTTGAAAACTGGCTCTTAGATCTTCAGACACAAAACAGACTACAGCAATTTCAGGACAGCCTTTTGTGTCCTGAAACATAATGTAAACTGTGTATGTGAAACCTCAGCCATGGCTCTGTATTTCTGTACTTACCATCTCATAGGCCAGCAGGACAGTAAGAGTGACCTGAGACTCTTCTGTCTTCACTTTCTTTCAGAAAGTCCTGGCCACCGTCTTAGCTCAGGAGGGATTCCCAGGCCTGGCCTAGGCCGCACCAGGGCTCTTTTCAGGACAGCAGGGGTGGACCTGGCAGCCTCCGTAACATCTGTCTGTGGCTAACTGTTCACGCATTGCACCGGCTCCTCTGCTGTGTGAGGATCCTTGTCATTTTCTGGGGCGGGATGCGGCCCCGAGTCCTCTGTCATTGTTACGGGAGCGCAGGGACCTCACTGGATCCAGGGCTGCGCCCGAGTTTCAAAGTCCTGCTCTTACGGGGGGAAAGCTGCCGTCTGTCGCCGGGGTGCCGCGGCTCCCTTCCCCGCCGGCGGGCGGAAGCGTCAGGCCCCGCGCCGGCCAACAGCTGGAGACAATTTTAAAATCGCGCTTTTGGCTCCCGGCCGGTCCCATCCCGCTCCCGCCAGCGCTCGCTCTTTCCCTGGTCTCGGGCTGAA